CCTTCAGCACTAGATTTGTTTTTGTACTGAATATGCTTAATGGATCAGTGAAAACCTGCCTAATGTGGGATTGTTTGATGGGACTGACAGAGCTGGAATTAGCCCATTGCTGTTTACTGCACACAGCCATTAAGATTAATTGCTGCCAGATAATTTTGACTGTTTTTATCTGTAGGAAAGAAAGTGTCACTAATGGTTTTATAAATTGGCTTGCTCCTAATGGTGCTGAGCAGCCTGCGCTGTGAGGCGGCCTGTTTGTGGCCAATTCCTACCTGCTGATGTTCATGGTAACTGGCTACATTTTTACTGGGTAGTTCTATCATCTGCCAGTCCCAGCTGCATAACAATGGATGGGTGTGAACTTCAGCAAAAGTTTATTGCTTTTATTTTAATGGGGGTTAATTATCTACACTGAAATTTTAAACAGAAAGGCTTAATATTTATTTCCCAGGCCATTACCGACCGGTATTTTAGAAGTATGGAACAGGCTTTAGAATTTTTCAGATCTGGTTTGGAGCTAATCCTCAGCGAACAGGCAATTGGCTGTGGGGGTATGTCACATATATCTGTAGCTTTCTATCCTGTCTGCACTCAAAATACCTTGACATGCCTTGTACTACCAAGACTTTGCAGAACAGCACCAAGATTAACAAGGACTCCACAAGATATTGTAATCCTGCAAGTAGCTCCACAGTACATCTCCTATCTTAAAAAAGCACTCCAAAGGATAGGAAAGTTTACTTGTCTCTTTTCTGTGTTTTACAATAAAGTGTAAAAATATTATGGGAGGAAAAATTAAACCAAGTCTATGTTCTGGACTTCTTTCAAAAAAACAGGGCTAATACCTGCAGGTTTTCTGCTTCAAGAATAACTATTCATCTTTATTTTCTTGGCACTAAACTCTTAATATAAATGAACCATCCAACCATTTTGTTCCAATTGCATTTCTCCTCTTGTGACTTTGTTGTCTTATAATTTTCCATTAATATTAATCCATGTTCACATAATACAATTCTCAGAATCTGTTAATAAATACTAATTACAGGAGTTAATGACACCATGTCCTGCATTAAGCCTTGTTTAGATTCCAAACCCTTTGAGATTGTGTTTAGTTTGTATTAAGATTCCCCAGACTGAATGCAACTCTCTCTAGATTATTATCAGGGCTCCGCTGAGTTCATTTATTTATGTCTAGCTTGATATAGCTTGTCTAGCTTGTGGAGTCCTGTAGCTCAGTGGTTAGAGCACTCGCTTTGCAAGTGAGAGACCTGAGATCAATTCCAGGCAGGGCGAAACCTTGGGCAAGTTTCTTTACTCCACACGCCTAATAATAATCCCTCCAAAAAACAAAAACAATAATAAATTGGTCATTTTCAATCTACGACTCTTTGTGGGACATTGCTGTGCGCAATTGGCTGCCGCGTTTGCCCACAAATATACAGTCAATTCACTTTGCAGTGTGTTCTGTGAAGCGCTTTGGGACATCCTCCCGATGTGGAAAGCGCTATATCAAATGCAAGGATTATTATTATTATTATTATTATTATTATTATTATTATTATTATTATTATTATTATTATATACAGATTTACAATATATTCTGTGAAGCACTTTGAGATGTCTCAACAACACGATAAATCAAATGCAGGAATTATTATTTAAATATAAAATATAAAAGGAACCAGAGAAAGCCAATCAGCCCATCAAGCCTGTTCCATCAGTTCATTTGATCATGACAGATTTTTTAATGCCAATATTTTTCACCCTTTTATACCTCTAATACCTCATTTTCTGCCCATCTCTCTATTAAATATACAACAAATTTGCAGTCTCCCACAGTCATAGCTCTCAAAACGCTTACCACGTGCCAAGTGAGTTGAATTTTAAATTCTAATTGATGGCTGGCATTGTTCAGATTGTAGAACTACAAAAATGTTTAAACATTGTGACATTATTGCTAAACCACATTAATAGAAGGATGCTTCTAGTGTCAGTTTGAAAGATTAGAAAATAAATTAGTGTATAGTTTCAAGTACATCCCAATAGTGGCATTTCAGGGTAAGGGCCTGCTCCAGAATCATTACCATATATGTTTTACAAGATCACGAGAGTGGCTTGGATAAGTAAGGTCCTTTGGTCTATATGATCATATCTTTCTGGAATAACGGGTCTGTTTTCCCATTACAGCATCCAGCCGTTTCTTAAAGGAGTGTTTTTGGCCTCAACTACCTTTTCCAGCTATTATTTACCCTCTCCATCAGAAAATACTCTTTGTGTCTATCTTGTCAATGTGATTTTCTATTGGTAACTAGATAGGGTTCCCATTTGGATTCCTTATTAAGCAATACTTTTAAGAAATACCACCAGTTAAGCACTATCGCTCTTTTCTCTGTTAAGTATCTTTTTGCTCTTGTAGTTTATTTTTCAGTGCCAATCATAATAATACATGCATTTGATATAGCGCTTTTCATGTCTTCTGGACGTCTCAAAGCCCTTCACAGAATATACTGTAAAGTGAATTGACTGCATATTTGTGGGCAGAACAAAACACAGGCAGTAACATAATTTAAACCATTCTATATATGGTGGTTTGGGTAGCTGCTTCCAATATCTAAAGTTATAATCTTCACTTTGAGGGAATTATTGAGGTGGTGGCCAACTACCTGTGGAGAGAATTCAAAGTAGTATTGCCTAAAGGCCCAGTGAGATCACTTGCTCTTTCAGATGGTAATTTCATGTCGAATGTTAATGACAGAGCAAAAGAAAGAAACGCCACTGGTAACTATTAAAATGCTTGCCACGCTTACGTTAGCCTTGATTAGAAAGTCATTTGAGTAGTATTAAAAGGAAATACAACAAAATGTAATTCTATATTTTATTCTGCACTTGTGGTCTAAACAGAGCAGTTAGTGGTAAGCTACTGAATGTAAAATTTACCCAGCATATGAAGAGGACTTGAACTATTTTATTTTGGTCAACCGGTCATCTGATACATGCAGAAGCCCATTTTACTTATGCCTTTGAGATATAAATTCTACCTCATAATGTCTCTCTTTCTTTCTCTCTTTTTTCTTCCATTGTTATTGGGAAATTGAATCGAATTCTAAAATAATGTGATTTGATCAGTTTGACCTCCTCCCCGCTCATTGCAAAACATGGATGGAGATACAAAAGGATTTATAACATTTTGATCTAAAATAATTGTGATAATTTGCTGTACTCAATAGGATTCTTTATAGGAAATGATAATTTCTGGACAGACATCAAGAAATATTTCTTTACCCAGAAGGTAATTAAGGACTGGAACAGGTTACCATTAAGGGTGGTTGAAGCCCGGCATTGGAATGTTTTAATAAACAGCTTGATACTGTAAAGGGAGGACAGCAGTGTGGATATTTTGGAAAGGTGAGATCAGATGAGTTGAAGAATTGTCATCTGAACTCTTGTGATCCCTATAAGAAATACCCAATATTAACTGGTGATCTTGGGAGTTTATGAGTGCTAAAGTTACTTGTGTAATAAAAATGCATTTCTAAAATTGAAACCGCATTCTAAGTCATTTTTTTTTGCAATTTAATTCTTCCCTTTTTATAATTTTTTTTAATAAATGCGTATGAAAACTCCTTGTCTGCCCTATGGTAGCTGCTGTATATGGTCACTGCAGGGTGTAAACTATGCTTCGTAGTCTAGACTGTTTAATAAAGAAGTGGCAATAAGGGGGATAACTTTATGGATAAGGCAGTATTGGATTTGCCACCTGCCAAATTACTGGTAAATGTCTTGCTATTCACTCTAAGGATAATTGCAGCCCAGATCACCACACTGTTGGCTGGTGATGTGGGGCATGAATAATAGGATAGTTGCTCAGTTTACCACAAGTGATCCAATTGCTTATAAGCTGTGCAGCCACAAGTATGTTATGTAGAACGGACCAACAGTTGTAAAATGTCACGGCTGCAAGTCAATATCGTATTAATATTGGGCATGTCTGCTTTCATGGTACATTAGTGCGAGCACTATCTTCCACATAGCTGAAGCGATACTATCACTGAACAATCGTTTACTGAAACACTCCTGTATAGTTTTAAATATTTTCTTCTGTGTGTTTTCTCTAGTGTCTTAAAAGAAATAAAAGCTGTAATGTCTAGAAACATTCCTATTGCACAAAATAATAAATAAATGCAACCTGTTGCATTTTCATAGTTAATTTATAATAAAACTAGTTCACTCTGTAAAATGTCCATGCCCTTGCTCCTGAGTTACTAACCTCCCAACCTTTGGAACTCCTTCTGTCTTGGCTAGTCTCTATTTATCTTTAAATCCCATCTAAAAACCTACCTCTTCGACCAGCCCTATGATCACCTCCCACTTCTCCTCTCCACTCCTCCCTTGCTCAGCACTCAACCCCGTCATAGTAAACTGCTACAGACTTTGAGACTTTATTCTATGTGAAAGGCACTATATAAGTGCATGTTGTTGTTGAGTTAGGCTCCTTGCACGTGCTGAGAGAGGATTGGCTGGATTAGAGGGAGTTTTATCTCACTCTATATAAGTAAATCTTAAGTGTTATTTTTCTGTGTATATTTTTCCTATGGTATGGAGAAATCTTGGCATCCTGGTGATATAATGAGATCACAAGAGAGGTTCAGATGAGGAAAGCCCTTCGGCCTATTCATCCTTCTAGAAGGTTGAGGAGTCCATAACCAGGGGATATAAGGAAAGAGAACGCCTAGGGATTTAGGAGGAACTACCCCAAACTGAGGGTATTTAGGTTGTGGAACTCCCTTCAAGCCTCTCCTTTATGTACCTATATATGTCCCTCTTGAAACCCACAATGGACTCTGACCACTTTACCTGGCAAGGCATTCCACATCCCAATAACATACTGAGTGCAGATTATTTTCTTAAATTTGGTTGTGTATTAAGGTTGAATGCTACAGATTATGCTGAACTAAAGTAATCTGTTTAATTCAGTTTTATTTTTTCTCTTTGCTCCTCAGCCCCGATCTCACGTGGCGGGATGTCCAGCACCTGATAGTTAGAACCTGCAAAGTCTGCGATCCCATGGATGAAGATTGGAGCATTAATGGAGCTGGCTATCATGTCCACCACAAGTAAGAAACTGTGTCACATTGTAAAATGTTTTACTATATCAGGAGTCAGATGATAAATTGGAGAAGATGCATGAGGCTAAAGTTAAAAGTCTTCAATTATTATGCTGCTGATAGTTTCCCGCCTCCTATGCATTATTTTTCCAGAATTAACCAGGTCAGCATTTCTCATGAAATCGCAAATGGGATGTTAAATCATCCGCAAGCGGGCTCAGTAGTTTCAGAAACATTGTTGTCGCTCAATAATTTACATGTTTTGCATGCTGTGACCCCAGTCAAGGGAGAAGCAGCAGAGATTCACCCATATCACCAGCTACCCAAGGGTCCAGGGAGCAATTTATGTTACTCATGTACTGTATTTATTTGCACCTATTAAGGACAATACAATAATAGCCCAACACAATGGGAAGAGCTACTACTTAATGTTCAGTTCATTATATCCTGAGATAAAACCATCTTGCAAATTAAAGCTCAGTACTAGAGGGTTGGCATGATCCTCTGCTGATGAGGACATTATGCTAATGCCTTCAAAGGAAATAGACCACTTCATGGATGGATTAAAGGAAGTCAGATCTATGTGTTAATGGCATCACTTTTGGAAGCTAGTAAACAAAGTTCAGCAGCAATATAATGAGGCATATATGTCTATCCAAGTGGTTGTAAAGGATAACATTGACATTCTAAATCAGCAGTTTAGATGCCTGTATCGATCTGGAGGTGCCCATCAGTATTGCCATGGTCTGCTGTTACTCTGGCATGCCGTGTCCTCCACAATGAAGACAATGGATTGATATGGAGGACACTTTGTTGTGTGCCAACTTGCAGTAGGATGGGGAAGATGATCCTGTAGAACCAGAGAATCTGTAACCAGAGGGTGGGTCCAAGTGCAATTAAAGTTAATTGACAAGGTCTTCCTGTAGAATGTATGTTAAGCAGGATTTCTTCCACTGAGGCTTCATCCATCACTGACATCAACAAGCCAGAATCCCTTCAGCCCATTCCATCTGTCAGGAGAAACATAATGGCAATGACTTACATCACATTGTTGTCACTCAATCCTCGTTACCCAAGGTCTGCTTTTCTTAATCTATGACTTGCACATATGTTATCAGGCCCGAATCAATCCTCATGAACAGAAGTGCTCCATGTGCCTATTTGGACTCTCTGTGGAGCCTACATCAAACCTCAGTGCCCTTTGCAGTAACCAGCCAAGCCTTAATAATAAGAGACTAAGCAAATGGAATAAATCAACTATGATGATTTATTATCAATAATTTATTCCAGTGTGTATGGTTTACGTACCTTCCCTATGTGCCAATTACCACTTGGTAATGTGGATCCTGATTTATCCTGATGCTGACGCAATCTCCCTCTCCTGGAAGGAGTGAAGTTGGATGATGATGAGGTGAGGGTGGGAACAGTATTGGCAATGACTCACCAGGAGTACTCATACCTGTAGGTGTGAATATATCATTTCATCCCATGTCTAACTTGCTAACTTGGACTCTAAGGATTACTGGATCCCGACAGCTGGCGCTACAGAGGTAAAGGTTATTGAAGCAGAGGTAGCCTAAGCATCAGAAGTGTCTTTGTTTGTTGTTAACATTGCAGGGGGGTCAGTGCAGTACTCCTCTGTGATCTCCTTGAAGAAAGAACTGTGAATTTCTGTCAGCAAACAGAAGCCCCAAGCAAACAGAAACCTGCATCAATTGATCATCACACAGCAACATTCTTTATTAAATATTTATTTCTAGATCATCATTCCTTTCAGGATTGAGTCATTACTTTAGGATTGCCATCTGCCTTGTGATTCAGGTGGCCGTCACTGTTTCAAAACTTTTGCTCTTGGTCCCTCTCCCCATCCAAATTCACATCAGGAGTTCACATTAACTGTCTACTCATCTCATTGTTGTTTATAGGATGTTGTTGGGCACAAATTAATTGCTGTGTTTGCTCCATAATAACATTCACCTAATTGAGAATTAATCTCATTCATCAAGAAATTACTTTTACATGAGAGACGCTTGCAAATGTTATTATTGTCGTTGATTGACCTGTTGGTTCAAGGAAGAATACACAGCAGAAGCGACAGCCACAACTGCTGTGATACTATGAATAGCCTGCACAATAGCCTGTATCTGTGCAGCAGAAAATGACTCAATGCAGGCTCAGAGGGTGCCTGGTGGTCATCGATATGTGTCAACCATTAGTTCAGTGTTTATACAATTTCTATGAGCATTGTAAATAGCTGTGTCCTGAAAATCAGCCACCTCGATCTGTCCCTTTTGTTACAGATCCTTTGGGAAAGAGGTAGATGACGTTCCACCTCACCCACATGAATCGGGATATCTGGAGCCTGCTCCTCATCCTGCATATTGAATATAGTGTATGTTTCTGTAGATATTGTGAACATTATGGGCTATGGGGAAAGGGTGGGGGAGTGGGATGAGTTGGATAGCTCTTTCTAAGAGCTGGCACAGGCACAATGGGCTGAATGGCCTCCTTCTGTGCTATAATATTCTATGATTCTATGGCTCCCGTGCTGAACTTGCGTGGAGAAGTGTTTGGTCCAGAAGCTAAAGAGCGGAAGACAGCCGGGATGGCATGTGGACTTTTCTTATCTTGTTCTCGAGCTAATTGTTGTGTTTTCAGCCAATACTCTTCCTCTATCCCTTCGCCTTGCCCCTTCTCCTATCTTCAGATCATGCCTGAAGACTTTCCTCTTCGACCATGTTTATAGTCACCTCCCCTTGCTCAGGATCAGGCAATACCAATGTCAAGTGCTCTGAGACCTTGCCCTATATGAGGGGCACCATATAAATGCAAATTGTTGTTGTATTACAGCATCACCAACAACAAATTACATTTATATAGCATTTATATCATCTTTCATGTCATTTGGACATCCCAGGACACTGGATAGTCAAACGTTTGCACCCAAGCTAGAAGATGGATTTGGGAGGGGTGGGAGCCGGGGAGGGGGATGGGAGGGGGGATGGGGAGCCGAGGAGGGAGCCGGGGAAGGGGGAAGATGACCAAAAGAGTATTCAAAGAGGTCTTGAGATGGACCTTGAAGAAAGCAAAGGAAAGGGTGAGGTCAACAACAACTAAAAGAACTTGCATTTATATAGCGTCCTTCAAGTGGGGTAGCACTTCACAGTGGCGGAGTCTGACCCTGAGCCAGTGGGAGAGGGAGGGGGGAGGTGACTGTGAGCACGATCAAAAAGGAAGGTATTTAGGCAGGATGTGAAAGTGGGGAGGGTGGGAGCAAGGTGGAGGGATTGAGGTTGAGAATTCCAGAGGTTCGGGGTGTAGTCGCTGAAGGCACAACTACCGATGGTGGAACGGAGTGTATGAGGGACAAACAGGAGGCCGGGGAACAAACAGGAGGCCGGAGCCAGATGAGCAGAGGCAATGGGTGGTGAAGAGGAGTTAAGCAAATCAGATAGGTAGGGAGCTGCGAGGGCATGAAGGAATTTGAAAACCAATGAGAGGATCTTGAAATTGATCCGTTCAGTAATTGGGAGCCAGTGGAGCCTGGCAAGGACTGGTGTGATGGGGGTAATAATAAAATAATAATCCTTGCATTTGATATAGCACTCTTCAAATCTTCTAGACGTCTCAAAGCTCTTCACAGAATAAACTATAAAGTGAATTGTGAATTGACTGTATATTTGTGGTCAAAAAGCGGCAGCCAATTGTACACAGCAGTGTCCCACAAATAGTTGTGGATTGAGTGACCAAATTATCATTGTATTTTTTTTTCTTGTGGGATTATTATCAGGCATGTGGAGCAAGGAAACTTGCCCAAGGTTTTGCCTTGGTTTTGGAGGGTTTGAGGGGTTGATTGTGTCAGCCAGCAGTGGGCAGAGGAGGGGGAATTGGGTGACCAGAGGCTGAGTTGGGAGGAGGTTGAGGGAGCAGGGCTTCATCTGGGTGAGGGAAAGGATGGAGGGAGAGATGGGGGCAAAGGATTGTAGGGTGTGGGCTGTGGTAAGAGGAGTGGATGGTGAAGGAGGCTTGGAGGGGGTGGGAGGAGGAGGCAGCCAGGGTGATGTAATCTATCTTCAAGATAAAGAAGTCCAGGACCTCTTTGCACTTGGCATCTGAAGTGAGGTGAACCGACTCTGGGATGGATTTCCAAATAATCGGGGTGATAGGCTGAAAGCCCGACCATCGATGATGGGGCAAGCTGGGCGGGGGATGTGAAGAAGGCCAGTGCCTGCCGAGTGGAGTGAATGAGCAGGTTGTTAGGGTTCAAGATGAATCAATCGACATCTCAACCTTTCCCAATCCTGTTGACTCGGTTCCCACTTAGGGGAAGTAAAAAAATAGAGAAAATCAATCCATCGGGGGAAAGGGAGAAATATTTATTTGGAAAATTCCTACCCAACTCCCAAAGGCAGTCGAGCAATCTCCAGGAGAAATATGTTGAGAAAGAGTTCAGGCTCTTTTTTGGACCATAGGGTTCTTGCTTTCCAATTGCATTAATTTGTAGCAGCATTATCTGTATCCAGAACTCCACCAGTGGTTAGAAATAATCAAATTGCAACTGAAGTTTGCTGCTGTGCTGACTTTGAAAGCGGCAGGGCCTTCACAACAACAAATTGCATTTATATAGCGCCCCTCACACAGAGTAGCATCCCAGAGCGCTTGACAATGGTGGAGTATGACGCTGTGCCAGGGGGAGATGGATGGTCAAAGAGGAAGGTTTTCAGACGCAACCTGAAGATGACAATTTATCTCCTGATGGCAGCAACACATTGCTGGTGGCATGGTTAACATGTGGCAGAGCCTCTTCCCTTCCTTACCCAAGTAGCCATTCTTAATGTGAGAGCCTGGACTGTTAGATTGACCAGCACTACCCCAACTACACAATGCCCTCAACAAACCTCTGTAGTATCAACCTGTGCAGTCCACTGCCAAACTTCAACCAAAGGTAGCATTAGGTTTTGTAAGAATCTGCTTTTATACAATATTTGAACAGCTGATTGAATTTTTAA